GGGCTGGGCTGCCCGCCTCTGCAGGCGGGGAAGGCCGGCGCACTCTCTGCCCCGGACTCAACGGCCGCCTGAAGATCTAAGTAGAATCCGTTGTTTTATCCAAAGTCCCTTTTTTTACTATGTATGCTTCCCGTTTTCGGAGTGGCTTGGATGGCTGGTGAGGAAGGAGGGATGCGTGGGGGCATGGGTCTCCTTTAAAGGCACTTGCATTATAATGGGCACAGGGTACAAACAGTTCTTAAGCATTTGGCAAAATCCAGCGTTTTGTTCTGCTAGTTTTAGCAAAAAAGAAAGAAATGTGGAAGATGTGTCAGAAATCTGTCAGAAAATCAATATAAACAGAGCTATCATTTCTGGAGGTGTCGACTCAGTCACAAAATCAGAATTAGACTGCGTAAGTTGGTCCTCTATAAATCACTTCTGCAGGCTTTGTCCTACAAGCATTTAGGCACTGAATGAATTTCACTTACATGAGCAGTCACAATAAAATAAGCAACACTATTTATAAGTTAGGTGCATAGTGATTTGTCAAATTTAATCGGTAATACACAGACTCATTCACTGTCATGTCTTCCTTTGGGGAATGACATGCAAGTGGTGTGCTTCAAATTTTGAGTTATTTTTCTGAGAGGAGTTATTGAACAGTCAGGTAATACAATAAAGAAAAAAAGATTAGCCCATCCTGGAACAACTCTGAAATGAAGGCACATTAACAAAGAAACTGCGTATCAAATAGAAAAGCAGAAATGCAGATACATACAGAAAATAATATAAATTAAAAGTGATACAAGTTAGAAAATTGATAAAGGACACTATTTCTTTACTTGTTTAGTCAAAGAGTTTCACGAAATGCCACATTAAAACTTGATTGCCACCCTAATGTGCTAGTGGTCTTGCAAACATTTCCCATACATGGAGTTAGTGTGGGCCACAGGCTATTCTCAGCACGCAGCCTCGATGGAGCCAACTTGGTTTTGAAGGCCACCCTCTCTCAGCTGGCCACTGTCCCAGGGAATGGGCTAAGGCAGGCTAACCAGTACAGTCTCAGCTGGCAAAATCTGCACTAGCCAGGTTTATCTAGAGTGTCTTTTCACATATGAAACAGCTTGAAAGACTTGCTTTTGTATATAAATTTTCCAAATGAGTAACATGATTGTTGCTGGACTAATAACTGGATTTCTCAGTTTCTCTTGCTACTGGTTTGTTGGTGGTTTGGGGTTTTTTTACGTAATGCTAAAAACTGTGATTTACACTACATGGGTGTTGGTTTTTTTTATTACA